AACGAAAAACCTAGTTTTTATTGTTATTCACCAAGATGAATAACCACAACCTTTTCTACGAAATATCAGTTATGGTTGCGGAAAACAATAGTGTTGTAAAGCCGAAATATCAACAGTATACTTCTCTAAATAAAATGTTAAGCAATTTTTCAAAAGTGTTGATGGCGCATATATCTTTTACTGCTGTAATAAACAATGGAGGCATCGGAAAAGGCATCGGTGGCATCCGGAAAGACACCAAGAAGAATTATATTTACGTTTTGTAACTTGCTGGGTGACGTGCGTGACGAAAAAAGAAAACCAAAACCGTGGTCACCGTGAGATGTTCAAATTTTTCACAACTTCATCTGTTCCTATTCGTAGGTCCGGCCAAGCCTTTATGGTGTTTAGTGTTAAATTGTAAAACTCCCTGAAGAAATCTACGACAGTTAGACGAAACGCGTCGGAGAATAAAGAAATTTTACAACTACTGTTCGCAAAGTGCTACTCACTAGTTTAGTTTTAAAGATTTTTTTTAAAAAATTGGTGCGATAGCTGTGGTCAGTTTTTCCATGCAGGTTGTCTGGATATATCTTTCGCAGAGACGTGGGGGGGCAGAGACACCAACACAACTGATTTCACTGCCGTTCGGTTTTCATCCCGAGTTCATTTGTTAAATTAAATAGGAAAAAAAAACCACTTCGAACGGAAAACATAATTATTTTAACGTCTGGATCTTTGGAAAAAAGGTCTCCTAGACGAGTGGCCCTGATTATAAATATTTAACCATGGTAAACACATTAGCCTTAACTTGGCTGTTTCTCGAAGCTCAGTGTTTTCCTGCATGCCTTTTTCACGTGAAATGAGCGATTGAATATCTATAACAAACACTAGAAGAACTACAGCTGATGGAAATTTTAAATTTCTTATCTAAAGGCTGTGGATACAAACTTACTAATAACTAAAAAATTTAAAAAATTTAGGACGAAATTTTTTTTAGAGTTGCCAAACTTTTCATTTTTCCGGAATCGAAAGTCGCGATTACAAAAGTCAAGTGAAAAGCAAACCAACTGTGATTAACGTCTTAGACAAGTCAAGATATTTTTTTTCGTCATACAACAAGTTACATATTATAAATATCATTCTTCTTGATGCTTTTCCCGGTGTCACCGATGCCTTTCTCGATGCCTCCGTTGGTTAATATAGCAGTAAAAATATTGTTCCAGTCAAAGCGTTTGGAAAATTGCTTAACTTTTTAAGTAGCGAAGTATAACCTGGTAACATTTTTGCTTTACAACACGATTGTTTTTTGCAAGTTACAAAACGTAAATATAATTCTTCTTAGCGCCTTTCCGAATGCCACCGATGCCTTTTCCGATGCCTCCATTGTTTAATACAGCAGTAAAAGATATATGTGCCATCAAAACTTTTGAAAAATTGCTTAACATTTTATTCAGCGAAGTACACTGTCAACATTTCGGCTTTGCAACACTATTGTTTTCTGCAACTACAACGGATATATCTCTATATGAAATATTAAATTTGTTTCCCCGCTGACCACTCGTATTTTGGTCTTTTCTTCTTTCTTCTTTTCTTCTAACTAATTTAAATAACAGTCGTTCCAAGTGAAAAAACGGAGAACTTCGCGCCTGTCGAATTGAAAAAAAAAAGCGGCACACCCACAGGTATCATAATCCCTTTTACATAAATTCGAGACATGATCCAAAACCAACACAGGGAAGTGAACTTTTACCAAAGTAGAGCTCCTTAAGTGGAAACAAGCAAACAAAAAGATAAGAACGCACAAAATAAGCAAGTTTTGCATGCTGAAACTACAGCTTACCTTAGCCGTGTTCCCTTAGTAATTCATCATAACATTTGGTACACACCTATGAGCCCTCCCAGCTAATGTATTTTGTTATTGAACGAGTTTTTCGCAGTGGTCACATTTAATACGAAACATAATTTTGCGAAAGGTAAGCTAAACAGAGAACTCAGTATAGGGACAAAAGCCGTGTTCGGTGACCCTTTGCTCTTCCTCGAAGCCTAAAAAAAATCCCTCCAATTTGAACGCCCTTGCATAACTTTTTCCTGCCATTTATGATTTTAAAAAGCCCTAACAATTATACCATTCTCGAACGAACGATTGAAGAAGAAGAAAGACCATGAAAAGCCTCCCTTTCGGCAGCCATCTTTGTTTATCATTATTTGCCGGCCGCGCGCGTGCGGCAAGGAAACTGAACATAAACGACATTAACCATTTAATCCCATAGAGCGACAAGCATCTAATTTCATCCCTGAATCGCACATTAAGGCCACGGAAATATAGGAAATTATCACTCACTAAAGAAGCTCTTGATTGTTAAACAAATTCTCATAGTCAGTACATAGGAGGAAATGAAGGAGAGAGAGAAACTGGGAACGAAGTTGGAGACGGTTTAATGATCGACGCAAAATGGTTAACCCTTGATAAAGAAAGCTCAAATGAAGAGAGGTCTGGATATATGAATAAAAATCTGAAAACCTGAGTGTTTAGTTTTTTGTTTGTTTCCTTGTTTGTATATTTATCATCGTTTTGGACTTGAAATCCCCCCGCCCCGTTCGGAATATTCGATCCACCCTTTGCCAACTGCTGGCCTCACACACGGGCGTGGTATTAACAAACCTGAAATGTTCTCCGGGGTTCCATAACAAAGGGTCTAGCCATAGTCAAATTATCATCAGCCAATGTTGTTTCTCATGTCAGTCCACTACCATGCCGACTTCCCACGTTACTCGACGGGTCTTCCGGTGACCACGCATGCGTCAAATCGAACTGTCCCCAGTCCCCGTGTCGTCTTTTGACTTTCATCAAATGTAGTGACTTTTCCTTGATATCTTTTGATAGTGAATGAGCTGCCACCACGCCATAAATGGAAGGACTTGAGGTTTCGTTTTCTTCCTCGATAGGCTTGCTTTAACTTTGGACTTTATGTCGTTTTTTCTCTTCCTGAGAACTCGTAGTCATGATTTTTTGACTGGGAACTGACATGACAATTCAATTTATTTACACAGCACTGAAAAGAAACACACATTAAAGAAGAACCAGGGCAGTGAACGAAAAAAAAAAAGGAGGGAGCGCCCACAGTCTTCACGGTACATCGATTTACACGAGATTTTGCGATGTAAATGAGAGTGGCCTGCGAACTGACCCAGGTCTCAACAACAGTACTACTACACCCACGGCTCCTCCCTCAGGAGCAAACATTTCTTTTGTGTCGTTGTTTTTATGTGGGAAGTTTATTCATTTCATGACCTTGTTTGGAAAAATTCTCCTATTTTCTTAATTTCGATATAGGTGGGATTATTTAAGAGGAGAATTAAAAATCAGAGCGTTGAATCCTTCAGTCCGCGCTGATCGTTCATATTTCCTCTTTAAATATAATCGTGTTTTATCAGAAGCGGATTCTTGGCGATCAAATCAGCTGCTCCACTCGCCACTAGAAGAGAGAAGAAGCCAAAAAAGACAATTAAACTGTTCCTATAGACGCAAGAATAAAAAAGCAATGGACTTTTTCATATTGCCTTGGTGAAAATAGAAAGGCCCGTCAAACTCCGTTGTGACAGGTTCCGACTCCAACGCAATATTAAGAGAAAGTTGTTTTTCTTCCACTCGGGACACACTCATAATCGGGAAACGAATTTCCAAGTCAGTACTCAAACCTAAAATTTCCCCTTTGTGAACTTAGATTGATCTCTAAAAGCTGTGTCACATTTAATCGTTGATTGATGGTTCGATCTCCTTCAAACAGCGCTTTCAGTTTGACATAAAGATAAAAAAGAGCCAAGTTTTTCAGCCTCAGTTTTTAATTCAGTTCGTAGCAACTCCGGTATGATTACAAAAGCTATTGACACTTCAGCTTATCTAAGATTTCACTTAGACTGAACTAAAAAAAATTGACGGGACGGTAATTTAGTGACAGACGGCATATAAGTTGTCTCTGAGCTTTAACGCATGTTAGAACATAGCGTTTTCATTCTCTGAGCCGACATGACCACAAGATCGCCAAAGAAATGTGCGAATACTGTGGTGAATTTTATATTTAGCTAAATTCCTTTGTCGTTACCCCGTAGAGAAGAACAAAGTAACTTACCGTCAAAATCAAGCGCCGAAGTTTTTTCAACGAAAGTGGTAGAGAGAAACCCAACAGTTAAAGTTCGTATTCACTGAATGACGGAAAATGTAGCTGCTGAGCGAACGAAAAACGTCTTCCAAGCGGAAAATAAACATTGCTTCTTGTTTAACAGGACAAAAATTAATTCGCTCCTATTTGGAGGTGTGTCAATTGCTTATTGTTTTATAATCAAACAAAACTTGTTCATGGTTAAATTCTGTTCAAGCCTCAAATGGGTTGACGGTTTCAATTAATTGATTCAAACATGCCTTCATAATACTAGTGCTACTCTAATCGGTATTAATTCATTTAGAATGAATATTGCTTCTCATATTAACCTTGTCACTACCGAGAGCGATCACAGAAGTGTTAAAAAAAAGAATATATTATTCTATTTAGGGCCAAATTCATAGTGCTGAAATTATAAGAAATAGAGGGTGGACGGTGCAGAGCATTGATAATTGGATAAACGTAACGAGGAAGGTTTAAATCAGAAATCGCGGCTAGTTGGTTGCATTTTGACACGCAAATTTGAGAGTAAGTTACATGATTTCAACAAACTTTTCCCACCATCAGACTACAATACTTGAGTATAAAGTTTGAAACATTTAGAACACACAATGATGTGATGGAAGGTAATTTTGACGAAGCTAACAGTTCAGGGTAGTTATATTTATGTGGTATTACCATAATAAACTGATTTCAATTCCATTAATGACATTTCAGAATTTCAGGGGGGGGGGGAAGAGAGGAGAGACCCAACAATGACTATTGTTCCTTCGAAAAGAAGACCAAAGAGCCAATACGAAGGAAGAACCATATTTCATTTAATAACACAATTCGATCTAAAATACAAAGAAACCACGTTGGCACTCGGCCTTACAAGAGTTCAAAACGAACAGAAAATTAATTGTTATAACCTGAAAATCAACTGAAATCTTACTTCTTGACTGCCTCCGTACTTGTGGTAAATAACTGGTCAGCAATATTATAATAACTGGTAAGCTTGGTTGAAACTGAACCGAACAACCGAACAACCAGATTACGCGTCTCTAATTAAACGGTTTACGTAACAAACATTGCGATAATTATGGAAATATATGAATTCAGACGGAGCGTGCGCGGAATAGTAGACATAAACAGCACGCCCGTTACATTTAACAATTAATTATAATAAAATAAATGTTCAATGAAGTAACCATGGAGCGTGGTGGCTCAGTGCATCAGGACCAGGCTCTATAGATCTGTTAATATTCGTCTCCTTCGTAATGATCTGACAGAAAAAAAGGGAAGGCTAGGATTAAACAGAGTGCATTAACTCAACCTTTTTTGAAACACGTTTAATATTTTAATCATTGTTTAAATTATATGTGGTCTCGATTACCGCCATCATCTCCAAACCGGTCTACTAAACTCCCAATTCCAGAGTGGTACGCAGGCTCAATTCACGAACGGGGCTGGTAATTGAGGCCAAACGATGGGGACAGATAGGGGTATGACGAAGTCCACAAAAGCACTCAATTAGCCCAGAATGTAGAAACTTCTCCAGATTTTGGTGACCTCTAACTAGTAGGGGCGTTTCGCCTACTCCCATACAGGAAGCTACCCCATTACAAGGCAGTCATTGCTGGGAATTGACTCTAAGTATAAAGAGTAAGGAAGCTTCATTCTTCAACATAAGTACCACACCCATCAAAAATATACCAGTAGCAATTCAAACTACAAGCTGAAAAGAGTCATCACGACTAGCAACGTGCTTGTAATTTTTTGTAGGTTTGGTGCTAAAAAAACTGAAAAAGAGTTACCTGAATTCTCATTTCCACCTTGATAATCAACTCTTCTTTCAAAATCTTCCTCTTCATCTCCATCATCAGCTGATGGTGGTTGAGGAGGAAAAAGCAGTGGATTAAGAGGTGGCAATAACAGCTGAAGGAAAGGTGATGGTGGTGGTGGTTGAGAGGGTAATAGTGAACCTCCTCCACAACCACCACCACCACAACCACCATCATCATCCCCTCCACCACCAGGGTCACCTTCATCATCTCCCCTGTCATCACCTTCTCTGCCATCACCTCCTCCATTATTATTTTCTCCAACAACATCATCATCCACTCTCCCACCATCAAGTCCTCCTCCTCTTCCTCTTCCTCCACCATTACTTCCACTGTTATCTTCTCCACCACCATTTCTTCTGCCACCCTCTTGCAAGGGACATCGGCAATAAAGGCAGTTTGTGTGACCCTCTTCTCTGCACTGATTGAGGCAATCCTGATGGTATTCACTGTTGCAGCACAGTGATTTCATGAAAACCTCTTCTTTTCCACAAATTTCACAACACAGTGACAAGACCTGAAAGAAAGAAGGATAAGCTAAGTAAGCACAGAATTTTGATTAAATATGATATGATGACCTAACATTACCCACAAATATCAAATATCATATCTTAAACATCATCAAAACGAAGAACCAAAAAATTGATTAATTGAATTCATTATTGCTACACCAGCAATCTGTTTGTTAAATGCAAAGGTATAAAATTCAAATTTTAGAAAGAGTGTGAAAAATTAAGCTGAATGGCCCCCCTTGCCCTTAAAAAAGAAACTGTGGTGTTGTTACATTTAAATAAAGGGGGTAAGTTACTGAAGAAACTATGGTGCTGCACCAGTGGGAAAGTATAAAAGGGTAATTTAGTATTATCAACAGAATTGACAACCTAAATTGGTCACCATAAAGAGTTTTAAAGCAGAGCAAAGGACAAAGGGCTAATGTTTGAAACATCAGCTTTAACACTCTTTACGGTAGCCAATTTAAGTTTTCAACTCAGTTGATACTACATAATTACCTCGTTGTTACATTTGGCCAATGATAATAGTTTCTTGTCACTCAATACTTTTGAAAAAAACATCTGCTAAATTGATTGCAACTAAACAATACCCTTTTTACAATTAACTTCACCATCTACAATGAAAAACAGGATTTAAAAAATCAAACCTTGGAATGTTGTGGGAAAGTCTGCAGAGGGTGATTTTCCCATGTGTCAGAAACATCATCATTAGTTGATGGTTGTTTAGATGATGTTAGAGCAGCTGTGTTAAACAAAAACAAGAAATGATATCACAAACTCTTCAACACCCTAACATCAGTATGCACATTCTCCATACTGTTCTTTATACATCTCCCAAGGTGCTGACAAGGAGAATTTGTCTATCAATCAAGAGATTCTATGGTTGGTGACAATTTCCTTTATATTCCTGACCTAAATGTGTGATCCAAGGGCAATACTGTAAGGAGAAATTACAAGGGGTCTGAGGGTCACAGCAAGGAGAGAGTTTATAGATTCAATTGGCAACAGTCACACAAACAGATTCCTGAAAACAGAGCAATTTACTTGATGGAAATCTATTAGGAAAATGTCAGTCAGCTGCAAAAAGGGACAACTCAATGAAATTCACTTAAGAAATGCATTAAAAACATAACTGTTTGGTCATCTTTGAACATGTTTTAAAATGCAGACCAAATAAGGACTTCAATTTGGAGTAAAGAAGCTAATACCTTGAGTTGCATTTGTTGGTTTGACCAAGCTGCATTTTTGAGAACTGATATTCCTTTTTCATGAACAGTTTGATTGAAAGTTTCAGGCTTTCTTAGTTAATCTCTTCAGAGAACTGCAATTCAGTAGATAATTAAAATTTCTAAAGCTTTTGCAGGCTAGTGTTGTTTTTACGAAATATGTAATATGTAAACATTCCAATAAAATCTATCTCTCTGGCTCTGTAAAAGAAACAAAAAGACATTTCCTGCAATAGTACACATACCTGGATAATCAGTGCTGTTGACAATCCTCTCTCTTTGAAAACTGTAATATTGTGAAAATCATGTGTTAATAAACATTAAGAGTCAAAGAGTTTAGGATAAACTACAAACACACCTATTACAGAAAATATTAAAATCTTAAAAAATAGTAAGACTTTTTGCTCCATCCCTCCTCCATGCTGAGATTTCCACGACCCTATAATTTTCACCCAGCACTACCAAAACTTCTGGTTGTTGCTATCATATAATATTTTTTAAGAATTTGTCAATACAGAAGAGTACAATATTGACATGCTCAGAATGACAAAGAAAACAAGAAAAAGAAAGAGAAGTATTGGACTAAATATCTCAAGAAAATATTTTATGTTAAATGTAATGTTTATTAGAAAAATGAATTAAACCACAATGTTGATCATTATCAACCTCATACATATCCATTGTCCAGTACTTTTCAAGAGAACCACTCTATAACTCTGATTGATTCAAACTCTCTGCTAACTCAAACAAAGTCCAATTTCCCTGGGATTTCAAACTCAATTTACTCAAACTCCTCATTTATAACCTCTTGCCTCAAATTTTCCCTGATAACTCAAACTTTAAGTAAAAATGCCTGTTGATGAACTTCAAAGTGTCAGAAAAAACACAATCTAATGTAGCTCATTGACATGTCTATGACTTCAATCATAATGGACAGGAACATGATTACATTAATTTATGAAAATGGAATTGAAGTTTAATAAATTCTGGTCATTGTTGATATAGCAGGGTACAGTTTAGTTGGGTACATTAAATGTTCAGTTCTATGTACACAAGCCAAACGTTCAATGAACATGGACATGAACACTGTTCTCTGGAACAATCATTCCCTAAAGAACAGTTGAATCACCCAATTGTTTCATATCTTTGTTTCTGTATTTTCAGCCAAAATGTGCAATTTTGTATCAACCAGCAAATCAGTGTTTTTATACTCACCAGTTGCAATTTGTAAGGCTCAAACCAGATGCATGTAAACATTCCTTGTGTGCTGCTCTTTGGCAGCATCCATTCACCTGAACATTTTCCAAGCAAACACCACAACAATAGTGGGAATTCTGGAATGCAAAGAATGAAAATTATTTAAAATCATAAGGGTAAAACTTGATTAGTCTTTCAAATAAATATTGTAATAATTTTCCATTTTGCTTCAAAAAGGAAGTAATTAATGAAGGGAAATCTTATTTCCTTACTCAGGGATAGAAAAGGAACAGCCCATGAAAAGCACAACTATACCAGGTCGATTAATGTATTAAATAAGTAAAAAAAAAAAAAAAATGAAGTAACATTTCTGCATGTCAAAATTAAAATATCACCATACACTCTTCTTCAGTGAATGGCTTGTATTTGAGTATCAGTGTAGTAAACCTCAGACCAGCCTGACCTGGTCTGAATTTGCACTGTAAGTGATTCAAGTCAACAACAGCAGCTGAGTGAATGCCATTGAAAAGGTGAAGGTACACAATGTCCAATGTCAGACAATATGGCAACTTAACAAAGTCAATTTTTCATCTTGTAGCAATATCATTTATCTACTCAAACTGTCTTATTGGGCTTACTGGTATTTCTGTGCCACTGACTAAAACATTACTACAAATTTCAATTTTGAGGTAAATTGCAGTAAAGTTACCACTTAATATCATTACAGATAAAAAGCTGAAGAATCAATAGCCTACTTATAGCTACAAAGCTAAATATATAATTAAGTCAGCTTGAACCATCATCTTAGGTTTGCAGGCATATGGCCTCCACATACCTTTTCCTTGTCATATTGGTCTCAGACATTACTATCAAACACAATTAATATTTTCAATACCTTTTCTCCATCTTGTGCTTGTTTTAACAACAAATCTTCATTTGTTGATGGTTGACGCCCAGAGCAAACTATGAGATAACACATCACCAATATTATAATACCTCATGTCAACCAAAAAATTTAAGAAGTAGATAAATACACAAATATAAATGAATACAGAAAGACCCCCTTTAAGTTCAAACGGAGTAGACAAATTTTCTTTATAAGTATACAACTACATGCAAACGTTTATGTGTTAAGCCAGAAGTAATTTAACAAAAGTCATTAAAAAGAATATTATTGGTTCATTATTAGTTTTCCCAATCCAAATTTATGTCTCCCTGGAAAGCCATATGACATCTCAAAAGGATGTGGAAAAATGAAAGGAAACTGCCAGCCCTGCCTGGAGTCACAGGTGCATGCATGTAATGGCCTCCCATATGTTTGTCACTCAAAACTTGGAGGAGAAATGCAAAAAGGGAAATGATTGATGGAGGCTGGACATGGGGGTAGTTTGACCAACAGGCGACTGACAGACATCAATGGCCTTCCCTAACTAAGACCTCATGTAGAAGGATCCACAAAGAGGATTAAGTAAGTTAGTTAGACCCTAAAATATACTTGAACCCACCCTTTTAACCCAGTATCCAGCCTGTTTACATTTTGGCTCTGGGTCTCACTGCATTGTAAAGCTTCAAATACCTGGAGGTTGATTTCCATTGACTTGTGATCTTTGGTGTCTTACTTCAGTGTCTACCTCACAGTTTATATCACCAATTACATTAGTGTTGTGAGGAGCTACACCATCACCAGGGCTGAAAATAAACCAAAAGACTGTGATACATATTTTGTTTACTGCATCTCTATCTGATTGAGGTATAACACTAGCTTAAAAATGGCTGTGGGTTTGTCCAATTTGTTGCACATGAGTGCCACAATTTGATATAAACAAAACAGATTATCTCATCAAGTAAAATCAACACAACTTTTAATTTGTGTGACATATTATGATAGATTTCTCTTCCACAAAAATTTGATTAAACAATAATTAACTGACACATTTAACTCACATCCCATTTTTTCAGCCAGAAGGATAGAAGAAATTTCAATATTGAGAGAAGTGCTAAAATAAGCAAGGTTCAGTATGCATTATTGGTTAAATTTCCACACAGCCCCATAACATTGTAAAACAAATCTGTTTTCCCTATGGCAATGCATTGTTTTTGTCATTGTTTTCTCTATCCAAGAACTGAATGCTTAATGTAGTATGGGGCTGTGCAGAAATTTTACCTGCATTATTTTTGAAGTAAACCAAAAAACCATGTTTTACTTTCAGCACACATGGCATATAAATTAAGATATGAACAATAAATTATCTTTTGACAATCCAAACAACAATGAAATTTTGACCAGTGGAAAATTAAAAATAATGCACTAGTCTGAACCGGTAAACTATATTTTAATATTATTAGGTAACATAAGATGTCATTTTGTGAAATTTATAGCAACTAGAGTTCACCTGAGTTTATTGTTATTTTAAACTGTTCTTTTAAGTGTTGACCACAGTTGGAGAATTATTCGTTGTTAAAAGCATAAAGCAGATATGCTGTCTAAATAAGCAACTTACGTGCTTGACGCTTGATCTGTGACTCTTTCATTCGACCCAGTTGCATTCGCTACATTGGAGAGCTTATAAAAACAAATAAACAGCTACTAAATATCACGCCTTGACCTCCTTAGAACATTTCATTTTGTACATATAGACTACGTTCAAATGTAATTTACTATTGCTTCCTTCCTACCGAGCTAACAAGGCTTGTCAGTTTCTGATCTCTGAAAACATATACATTTGATGCCAAAACTTCCGTCCATTCTAGGCCTCCTAGGACGTCTGTGTATCCCACGGAGAATTGTTTGAAGCAAACTAAGTGTAAAACTTGTATTATTGTAATAAACAATCGAAACTTCATTGAGGAAGAAGAATTGGTTAAGTTATGAAGAAAGTGGTAAGCAACACAAAACCTCGTGTTTATTACACAGTGGTTAATGAGGAGATTACAAGACTACGAAAAGTCAAGCTCGCGTAAATATGAAAGGTTGTGATTTCTTTTTACCTCTGAAAATTCTACGTGAACGTCCTCTACTGGTACAGAACGTCCAGAGGAGCCCGTCAGAGTAGATGAGGTGGACATCTGATCCTGATCTTCGTTCGGATTTTCCATTTTCTGAAAAACAACAAAGTATGGATACGAAATTTTGACGTCAAAGCGCCCAATCTTCGTCTATAGCCATCTATGAAACATTTACATCGTTTTGAGCACGGATTTACATGTTCTAAGCGTTAAATCAGACGCTCTAAGAGTAAAATATGAAAAAGGCTGACTAGATTTGGATATCAACATACATTTTCTGCAATTTCGACAAGCTCATACACCAGACTTGTCCTTTTCCAACGGCGAGTACTTATTTCCCAAATGCGCCACGCAACTCGTGACATAAACAACCGGCACTCAGCCAATCAGATTTGCGAGTTGGAAAACGTTTTCGAAAATCCTGGTATTTTATTGGCTAATCCAAGCGCGGGGAAGTCGAAGCATCGCGCTTGCAGCTGATTGTAATGGAAGACCTTATTAGTCAATGGCCTAAACTAAGTTGAGTCTGCAGTTCTTCCGGTGTCACGCGGTTTCTCCTCAACCTCGAAGTACATCAAAATGGCGGCCGCGACAAGGGCTGAATTTTCTTTGATAATCAGCGTATTAAATCTACCAGATATTCTGAAGAGCGTTTCCAAAAACTTTTATAAACGAAAACATTAACGTTAAAACACTTTGTTTTAATTTAAAACTTTTCATCGTCGTCGGCGTTTCAATTGGCTACAGTCATTGTTATTTAATAGGGACCGGAATCAGGTCATGTCTGAATGGATGTTTTTTAAAGCTGCCCCTGAAATTTGTAACTTTTCCCGGGTTCAGGCGTGGTGGTAGTGTACAAGAGGGTCTCAAGGCTCTTGTGAGGGTGCGTATGTGCATTTAATGTGTTTCACATAAAGACTGTGTTCCTTTATTTGTATCACCGTGTTTTCTTAATTTAGCTAACATTATTTATAAGGTCAAATAGGTGAAGAAGTGTGAAAATTAGCGCTGGATTACGAGCGTACTACAGTTCATCTTATTTCAATCTAATTTAATTTAATTATTGATATCACCAAAAGTGTTGGTTTTTTACTGTTAATGCATGAAAAAGTCTTGGACAGTATTTCATGAGTGCTTCTGTTTTGTTTTAATTGTTATTTCAGTATACAGATTAGAGTTAGAAGCACATCCCTGTCAGCTGGACACACAGCAGCAATGTGGGAGCATATACTACACATATTTGTTGCAGTTGAAGAGAATTGAGTGTCAATGTTAATCCTTCCTCAGCAGACCAAGCTGACACAAGTTTTTCCTCTGGGAAATGACATCTTTCCTCAGTCAGTAGTAACCTTCACAAAGGAGAAGAACAGATCATTCAAGTTCTCAGTGAGAGAAATTAGAGAGCTCATGATTTCCCATGTTGTGAAAGACAGGTACCACATCTGGAAGTTTGGAAAACTCATTGGTCACAGCCTTGAGAGTTTCTTTAGAGAGGTTTCCTTTTGCTATCATTAGATTTGCATTAAAGCCATCAATGATAGGAAGTGCAACAGTAGCAACATGATGCGAAAATGTCACATCCTTTGACTTTAACCTCAAAATTTACTGTTACCATGATATTTTTCCTGTCAAAAAGATATATAATTGAGGAACATTACAGGAATCTTATATTATTGTGTATTATAGACAAAAACTTGTAATTGTGAAAGAGCCGCCATTTTATTGTGGTAATGTTTGTTGATTTTATTGTTTTCTGTACATGTGAGACAAGCATGTGTAATCACTTTGCCACTGTGTCCATCAGCTGTTGATCTTCATAGGAGTTTGTATGGGAATATTTACAACAGCTCTGAGGAATAAAAAAAAAAGTGAATTAGCAATACCTCACCTAACTTCCACAGTGCATTGCTTGTCATCTCACCACTTACTACATTGAAGGAAACCCATTTTAGTGAGTTATCCATTTTGATGTTTTCTATGTACATAAGAAAAGCGGGTATTTAACAAACACAAAGAATCAAATCCTGATCATATCAGAGAACTGAATAGGCAGGCATTTGCCAAAAGTGAAAAGAGTAATACTTTGCATGAATGAGAAGTGAACAAAAATGCACAGAATAGAAATAGATCCTTGATGTCTGGGTTGAAGACATGTGACCATGACCTGCTTTATCCAGCTACTGTAAGACCAAGTTGTACGGCAGTTAATCAAATACATGAATTTGAATGTTAAGATTCTACTCAAGAGATGCAAACAATGACAGAAGTCATTCAAATTTTCCAAGATAACATTAAGTGTGGTCCTGAATATGAATGTATTTCCTGTGATCAATTATGGTATTGCTCATCTGTCAGAAAGTGTGAAGCAAACAAATATCCTAAATGTTCCAAAACACTGCTTGATGCATGTACAATTACTACTGCTAGTATAGATAATATGAAATACATTTGATCTACTTGCCAATCAAACCTGACTAATGGGAAGCTGTCAGTCTGTTCTAAAGTAAACAAACTGGGATTCCCTGTGAAACCACAATGTTTAAACTTGACACCTTTAAAAGAAAGATTAATTTCTTCTTGAATATTCCATTTATGCAGATACGTGAACTCCCTAGATGTGGACAATTATCTATTCATGGCAATGTTGTTAATGTACCTGCGGATGTAAATTCAAATAAAATTCAGCTATCCCTATCAGACGTAAACGAAGGTTGAGTTACAGGCATCATTATCAATTTCAGAACATTAGGCCAAGAAAAGTGTTAAAAGCAGCAAAATACCTTGTTAAGACAAGTGAATTGTTTTTTTAAAAGTGAACATATAGAAGTTAAGAAAAATTGGTTTGATAATCCTGATACTAGAGCTAACGATGTTCTTGCAAATCAGAGTAATGAGTGGAAAGAATTCCTCACTAATTCACACGCGAGTACTAGTAATGCTGAAATACATTCAACTGATCCTGTACCTGAAATTACTATTTCTGAAGCTACTCAAAGACATGATAACTACACCGATTGGTTACTAAAATAACACAAAAACCTTCCCACAAACACTCTCTTACTCCTCTCCATTCCCCTCCCCAAGATTCCCCATGAAATATACTGGTGGGGGTGGACAGCAGTGTAAAAAATTAAAAAAAAAAAAAAGATTTGTGAGTTATTGTTAACGGAGGGAACCTAAACTGATAGCCAACCAGCCAGTCTTTCGTTTGCAGCACATTAATACAAATTTTATGTTAGAAATCTGCTATAGTATAGGCCTTTATGGTAAAAAAAGAAGTTTAAGGAACGGTGCAAGTCAAACGAGAGCCAAAATGTGAATTCTGACTATTCACCCAACATCACCCCAGCATTTCAAAGTAATTCCAAGTCAGTAGTTTCAGCTACTCATTGGTTGCCTATGTTTACATGTAAAAGTGTACGTTTTTGTGAAGGGGAGTTAAATTATCTTCAAAACCCATTCAAACGTAATGTATCCACGACTTATCCACAGTTTCCTTTGATTTCTTTTAAAATGCAGTTCTTCGATATCGTCTAGTAGATAGTAGATAGTTTATTCTGATTAAAATCGCAGCCAAAAGCTGAATTAGATTAATCGTTACAATAGTAAAATCTAATAAAAGTATGAGAAAAGTATAAGAAAAATGTACACAGATTAACTACAATTACTATATATGAATGTATTCATGAGTCTCTTCGTCTTAGCCAGAGGAACATTAAATTTCCTCTTTCGTCTCAAATTGAGTTCACAGTTGTTCTGAGGAGGCAGGAGCTTATACAGTTTATGGTCTGAGTTACAGGTGATGGAATCAAAAAGCTTAGTTGTGATAGACTGCCTGCGTTGGGAGAGCGTCTCCAAGTTGGCTTGATTTAATGCGTCGCTATATGGAACAAACGGAAAAATAATTCGCATAGCACGTTTCTGTAGCTGTTCTAACTCAACAGATAAATATGCAGGAAGCGCGTTGTGAAACACCGTGCATGCGTATTCCATTACTGGGCGGATACAAGTCCTGTAAAAGATTAGCAGATCTTTGGTGGGAATATTCGCTCTCTTCAGTTGTCTAAGAAAATATAATCGACTTGCAACTTTTTTACTTATTTCAGCAATATGACAGTTCCACCGAAGGTCGGAAGAAATGTTTAGCCCCAACAACTTAACAGTAGACACTACCTCTATTGCTTTCCCGTTGATAACAATTGGAGCAAAGTCCGCGGCTGATTTAGCGAACGAAATCCGCAGTTCCCTACATTTCGATTCATTTAGCTGGAACTTATTTTGATTAGACTTAGCAATCAGTTCCTCCACATCAGATTGAATACGACTGCCTTCTTTCTTGTGAACACACTCTGCAATAATTGTGTCATCCACGTATTTCCACAGATTCGTATTGCTGGTATTGATGTCGTCGATCATAAGAATAAACTGGGGTGGCAAAGCATAGAGGACCTACCATAAAAAATAAAGTAAGACAAAAAATAGTGTACCTTGAATAGAATTGCGTAAATTTGGTCTTCCATTGAAATAACAGTCGTTTCAAGTGAAAAAACGGAAAACTTCGCGCCTAGCGAATTGAAAAAAAAATCACCATACTCACAGGTATCATGATCTCTTCTGCATAAATTCGAGGTATGATCCAAAACCAACACAGGGAGAGGAACTTTTGTCAAAGAAGAGCTCCTTAAGTAGAAACAAGCAAATACAAAAATAAAAACGCACAAAGTTTTGCAAGCAAGTTTTGCATACGCCATATATGCTGAAACTACAGCTCTCCTTGGCCGTGTTCCCTTCGCAATTTATTATAACATTTGGTACACGTATGAGCCCTCCCAGCCAATGATTTTTATTTCTGAACGAGTATTTCGTTGTGCGCACATTTACTACGAAACATAACTTTGCTAAAGGTAAGCTAAACAGAGAACTCTGTATTGGGAAAAAAGCCGTGTTTGGTGCCCCTTAGCTCTTCCTCAAAGCCTAAAGAAAAAAACTCCCGCCGATTTGAACGCCCCTTGCAGAACCTTTTCCTTCCATTTATGATTTAGAAAAACCCCAAAAATTATATAAATTCTCGAACGAACGATTGAAGTAGAAGAAGGACCACGAAAAGCCTCCCTTTCGGCAGCCATCTTTGTTTATCATTATTTGCCGGCCGCGCGCAGTAAGGAAACTGGACAAAAACGATATAAACCCTTTACCCCTAAGAGTGACTAGCATCTAATTTCATCCTTGAAGCACACATTAAGGCCACGGAAATATTGGAACTTATCACTAATTAAAGAAGCTCTTGATTGTTAAACAAATTCTCATAGTCAGTATCATAAAAAAATGTATAGAAAAAAGTGTGGAGAATATGCCTACTGATGTTAAGGTGTAAAGGGTTAAGCAACCACTCAAACAAAAGTCTCCCTTGGTTCTTCACATGACCGTCTTCTCTCGAATCTAGCTTCTGCCTTGGAGGGCAAAGGAGAGAAACTCTGGGCACGAGATTTTTTCCCTGAATAAGGGGCATTGGGTGTAGTATTTTGGAGAGCAAATGCTCATTATTTCCTTAGCTGCCATGAGCTGCCATCTTCAATTTTTGCAGCAGCGTGAGGCTAGGGAGAGAAAAAATTGTCCTAAGGAAATGAGCGAAGGTTAAGAGGAAGGGGAGGAGAGGGAGTGGAGAAATTGAAATTATCTTACCCCTTCCCACCCCTCCCCCACCGTCCACCTTTACTCTAAATCATACATGGCCGGTCAATTAAAGGATCGCTAATTTGTAACGTTGAGTCGCCCCTTTAAGACACCTGCGCTGCAGGCCAACGGTAACTCAACAATGGCTTGAACGAGATACTAATCCCTGAGTATTGAGCAGATTTCCTAAATTTTCAAAGACCTTTAATCAGATTTGACAGATAAGATGGCATGCTCCTGGTGTTCAGTTGACAAAAGATGGATCGAACATTTCGGAGGGGGCGGGGGGATTTCAAGTCCAAAACGGTAGTAAGAATACAAACAAGCAAACAAGCAAAAAACTCAACACTCAGTTTTTACAGATTTTTATTTATATGTTCAGACTTCTCTTCCCTCGAGTTTTCTTCATAAAAGGTGAACCATTTTGCGTCGATCATTGAACCATCTCCAACTTCGTTCCCAGTTTCTCTCTCCATTATTTCCTCCTATGTCATTATAATATAAGTCATTGGGAACGTAGTTGACTTTTTTAATAGTTGCGTCTTCAATACAGGATTTTTCTGATCAAACTTGATTGACAGAGCAAACTCTTATAAAAATTATTATACCAGGAACCAGATACTCTTGATCTTATATGCTGGTGCATATAATTTAGTGAGTCTATTCTTAAATCGATGTATCATTAGAACGCGACCGTTTATTTGGTATTTCTTTACTTTCATGTTTGTCTCTGAAAAGGAAAGGAAGGAAGAAAAGATGCTCATATCTAAGTCCTAAAGCAGCTTCAATTGCACATCTTATTCACAGTAAATTCCATAAACAATTCCTACTGCGTACAGATAAAAGCTTCGATATTCAAACTGCGCATAACGATCTACCGCTGCGTCCCATGCGCACCGGCTCACAACTCTTACGTCCTGTCTATTGACGTCACCCACAATCACGTGACAAACGAATTTGTATCGAGGATAACACAGTTTCTTTACTCGTTCCTTGATCTCTTCAGTTATTTTAACGGTGACATCTTTGCAGAAGACTGGGTCGTATTTCTGTTCAGCCAGGTTTGTTTCCAAAACGTGTTGAATGATTGGTATGACTCTGTGTTCCTGTGTGAAGCGAAAAGGCATAGATGCATAAAAAAATTTGGCTAACTGGATGTTCATGGGAACAGAGAGAAAGCGGAAGGAGATTGCTGTTAAAAGTTAGCAGCGCGCCTTCTTATCTGGCGGTTTTCATCCGTTTTTAGACCGTGCTGCCTTCGTGTTTTTGAAATACAAACTCAATCACTAACGACACAAGTAACAAGTCAGAGAGAAAATCTCAGTTGCCGCTCATCATTCTGAAACTTCAGCAGTGGAGGGTGTAAGTGGGGTGGGGGGGAGGGAGGGGTAAGAAGGTCATCATTTTAATTGAGGTTTTATACAAAGCTATCTTCGTTCTCTCTCTACCTCAATGTAAAGGGCCAATGACTTCAGGGATTTGAGTTAATCGTATATAAACTAAGTACTGGCCTAGAAGAGGATACTTTTTTGCGCAAGATGATTACAACAGTTTTGAACTCCGTTGGTTAGACGCTATGTTAGAGGACCCGTAAGAGAGGCATAGACGAAAGCCTAAAGCTTAACAGACAGAATCTAGAGTGATCCTGTCGTTGGAAGAATTTTGAATTCAGACAAGTAGTAAAAACAAGTCGCAGTGGGTTGAGGTGGGGGGGGGGGCGTCGCCGTGGGTTGAAGGGGGGGAAAGTCGCAGTGGGTTGCGGGGAGAGGGGAGTTCGGATGCCCAAACCCTCCCCCTGGATCCTCTTTTGGAAAGGGGTTGGCCTTACACACGGGCGTTATATCAAACCTGAAATGTTCTCAGAGGTTCCATAATAAAGGGTCTAGCCATAGTCAAATTATCATCAACCAATGTTGTTTCTCGTGCCAGTCCACTACCATGCCGACTTCCCATGTTACTCGACGGGTCTTCCGGTGACCACGCATGCGTCAAATCGAACTGTCCCCAGTCCCCGTGTCGTCTTTTGACTTTAATCAAATGTAGTGACTTTTGCTTGATATCTTTTGATAGTGAATGAGCTGCTACCACGCCATAAATGGAAGGACTTGAGGTTTCATTTTCTTCCTCGATAGGCTTACTTTCACTTTGGACTTTGTGTCGCTTTTTCTCTTCCTGAGAACTCGTAGTCATGATTTTTTGACTGGGAACTGACATGACAAGATCATTTCAATTTATTTATACAGCACTGAAAAGAAACACACATTAAAAAAGAACCAAGGAAGTGAACGAAAAAAAAAGAGGGAGCGTTCACAGTCTTCACAGTATACCGATTTACCCGAGATGTTGCGATGTAAATGTATAGATGTAAAAGAGTGGACGGCGAGCTGACACAGGTCTTAACAAAAGTACTACTACGCCCACGGCTCCCCCCTCTAGAGCAAACATTGCTTTTGTATCGTTGTTTTGATGCGGGAAGTTTATTCATTTGGGATTATTTAAGAGGAAAATAAAAAATCGGAGCGTTGAATCCTTCAGTCCGCGCTGATCGTTCATATTTCCTCTTTAAATGTGTTTTTCTTTCGTGTTTTATCAGAAGCGGATTCCTGGCGATCAAATCAGCTTTTCCACTCGCCATGAGAAGAAGCCAAAAAAGACAATTAAACTGTTCCTGTAGACGCAAGAATAAAAAAGCAACGGACTTCTTCATGTTGCCTTGGTGGAAAAGAAGGGCCTGTCAAACTCCGTTGTGACAGGTTCCGGCTCCAACGCATTATAAAGAGAAAGTCATTTTTCTTCCGCTCGGGACACATTTATAATCGGAAAACGAATTTCCAAGTCAGGACTCAAACCTAGAATCTCCCCTTTGTGAACTTAGATTGATCTCTACAAGCTGTATCACATTTAATCGTTGATTGATGATTCGATCTACTTCAGACAGCGCTTTCAGTTTGACTTTACGATAAAAAAGAGCCAAGTTTTTAAGCTTCATTTCTTCAATTCAGTTCGTAGCAACTCCGGTATGAATACAAAAGCTATTGACACTTCAGCTTATCTAAGATTTCACTTAAACTAAACTAAAAAAAATTGACGGGACGGTAATTTAGTGATAGACGGTATATAAGTTGTCTGCGAGCTTTAAAGCATGCATGATAGAACATATCGTTTTCATTCTCTGAGCTGACATGACCACATGAACGCCAAAGAAATGTACGAATACTGTGGTGAATTTTATATTGAGTTAAATTCCTTTGTCGTTACCCCGTAGAGAAGAACAAAGTAACTTACCTTCAAAATAAAGAGCCAAAGTTTTTTTCCAACGAAAGCGGTAGAGAGAAACCCAACAGTTCAAGTTCTTGTTTGTCACTGAACGACGGAAAATGTTGCGGCCGAATGAGCGAAAACCAACGTCTTCCAAGCGGAAAATAAACACTGCTTCTTGTTTGACAGGACAAGAATTAATCTGCTCCTATTTGGAGGTGTGTCAATTGCTTATTGTTCTATAATCAAACAAAACTTGTTAATGATTAAATTCTTTTCAAGTCTCAAATGCACCGACGGTTCCGTTAATTGATTCGAACATGCCTCCACAATGCTGTTGCAACGCTAATTGTCATTAATTCATTTAGAATGAATATTGCTACTAAGATTAACCTCGTCATTACCGAGAGCGATCATAGAAGTATTTTTATATAAAAAAGAATACGACTTTAAATAAATATAGGACCAACTTCTTGGTACTGAAATTATAAGAAATAAGGGGTGGACGGTGCAAAGGATTGACAATTGGATGCACGTAACGAGGAAGGTGTTCATCAGAAATCGCGGCCAGTTGGTTGCATTGTAACGCGCAGCGAAAGAGTTCTCTGGGTGTACTGGAAGATCAAATCCAGAGGAGCCCGGCTTTCTCCGTCGAAGTATCGATACTAATTTGTGTCATGTAACAACAGGACGAGTCATTATTTATCACCCGGTGGGGAGGGTGGAGGATTCTTTTTTGGGAGGGGGGCAGAGGGGGATCAGTCGTCACCAACTTTGACTGCCAATAAAAGGAGAGAGGGAGAGTGGGGTTCATGAGAGCATCACAGAGCCTAATGAAGGATCAGCCACACTTTATCGTGACACAAACAAAATCCTCCATCCCCCTCCCCCCTCCGGCGATAAATAACAATCAGTCCCTAAAGTAGTCGCAAATTATGTCACGTACGTTTTATATTTTCCTTCGGGCATTTTAATCATTGCGGACCTATACTTGAGTCATCTAAGCTGAGGGTTACTTTTCCTAAAAAGGCCTAACCCTGGGTCTTTTCCCATGGCACGAAATTCGGACAATTTATGGGATTACTTCAAAATCCTTCATCATGAAATTTCGAGGAAATGTCATTTTGCACAATGATTAGTAATCAGAGATATCGACATTTCTCGCTACAAGCCGATGTTTCTTCCAGTCGCTATAGGAACAAGATGGCCGTAGGTTGAATACCTTTACAGATGGCCGGGTTAACTTTTAGCTTTACGTTTTATTACAACTTCAAGCCGAAATAGCCACCTTCTCGAAGAAATTAAGAAAATAGTTTGGAAAAGCTTAAGTACAAAAAAATATCTCCTATATTGCTCTTATTGGACTCCTAAAAAAGGAAAACATGTTTGCATGAACATCTGACTGGAATTTGCATTCGTAACTATTTAACATCAGCTGATGCCACAGTCATCTCACAACTTTTGGCCAAATAAACCTCTCAAAAAAACATCACAATATCCCAAATCAGGTTTGGCAACAATTTCATTTAAAAAACTTTCGTGAACAAAATAACTGATGACTTCCGGTAATTATTATAACCATCTCCGAGTGATTTCAACCTGAATCAAATCAATGCCTGTGGTGAAATGTCTTTAACGCTCTAATGAACCTCCCCACGGGTGGGAAAGGGGGGGGGGGGGGGGGGGAAGGGAAGGGAAGGGAGAAGAAAGAAAAAACTTTCAGTTCACCCCTGTGATGAGTAAACAGTGCAATCGCACGACTTTGAGGAATCAGAGGTCACTGAGAAATTTTTCCCTCTACACTGGGAAACGAAGCACGTTATCATCCTCTTGAAAGAATTCAAGATCAGCGTTTAACAAAACTTTCGTTGGATCTCCGACCTAGGCCTTGCCGTATATTTTGATCCCAATCCAAGAACTTAGACTGGGCCCTTATCTCTCGTTTGACTAGTACTTGACTCCTTACGGTACTAAATGAAAACCTCGGTACTACCACCATCAACAGTTAAGAGTTGAAACGAATCCGGTTCCTCTTCATCCTCGCTCTGTTGCTTAGTCTCTTGTGATATTTTTTGTGGACTGTTTACTTTGAATCTTGACGGAGGAGGGGAGGAGTCCGTCAACCCGTAATTTGGGATATTCGACGACACAAGGGGTTTGTCTTCCCTCTCAGAATCAATAACACTGTTTGATCGTTTTGCAACATTGAACTGCAAAGGAAAAGAATATTATCAGTGGCATAGTTTCTGGATAATGTTTAATCCATTATCCCACTTCCTAATCCTAGAGGGATATGTAAAAATCATACCTGAAACAGGTAACCCCTTAACCCTTGGAGTAGCAACCATAAGCTGACTAGCATCTAATTTCTCCTTAAAATATCACCCCTGAATCACACATAAAGGCCATGAGAATAAAGGAAATGATCTCAAATTAAAGAAGCTCTTGATTCTTAAACAAATTCTCCTTTAATTAGGAAATGTATAGAGTACAGTATGGAAAATTTGCATACTGCATACAGTTCAATACTGGAAAGAACCACATTTCTAATGACGACGAACAAGAGCAAACCGTTTCACTCCCAGGAGAGCGAGTAATGAGAGTTGAGAAAATTACCATCTGGGCGACATTATATTGATATAACGCCAGATTCTCCTGAGTATACAATAAAGAATTGTATAACCATCACTTAGGAGAATAAACTTCCTGATCATAGGACTGAAAGATTGACGTGAGTCTACATTTTGAGGAGGTTTTTCATTTCCCAAGTGCGCCTCACTGAAATTAGGATTCGAAAGTCCCCCTTACCAATATTTCTGACGATAGTTTCTGTACTTTTGGGAATTCTAGGCCATCAGGAGACCTCATTTAAAATAAACTAAGACGTACAGAAGGTGACCAAAATTTATTAGGGAATGGTCAATACTTATCCCTGAAAGGGAGGAGGGGAGGGAACGGAGTATTTTTTAGGGGGGGATGGCATTGTTTTCAGGAGGAACGGAGGGAGAGTACCAAGGGGTGACTGTAGAAAATCGACTGTCAGTAACTACCAATGAGTGAGGATTATAGGAGTACTGCAGAGCCTTATGGGGGAATCAGGTAAATTTTGTCATGACACAACTAACATTTCCCAATCCCTCAGGCGATAACTGATGAACGGTCCCAAATTACGAGTTCCTTCGAGTTTGCGGGAGAATGAGCACCAATGTTCGGCACGACAACCGACCGCTGAAGCGGTCGATGCGTCATTTTAAGGCAGACTGAAAAACACTCACCCTCGATATCGGCGTATTTACAGGTTTAGAAGGTGCCGGGGTTTCTATTGAAAAATTTTCATCTGCCAAAGGAGCCTGAGCAACTTGCGCTGAATTGTTTACCGCAGGGGCCTGCGGATCAGGGCTAACCAACAGTCTTGAACTTCCGAATGACGATTTTCTTCTGGAAGGTGACAACAATGACTCCGCTTCTTGCACCGTAGGAGTCCGTGATGTGGTATCAACCGCAAATCTGGAATTTCCAGATGGTGAATCGCCGGAATTTTTTGAGAGCGGAATATTTGCTGATGTTTTCCGCTGGCGAGTTCTTGGTTTTGAAGAAAGCACGGCTGCATTTTCATGTGAAGGGGTCACTGGATCGGAAATTTGTCGGAAGGAGTTCCGTCTTTCTTGCTCTGGTGAACATGGAGCCGAGCGGCTGACCCGAGGTGCAGGAAAAGAACGAGAACTAGATGAACTCTCTTCACGTGCCAAGGGAGACATCGGAAGAGCGAAAGGGCGTGGTCTTTCAGAGGAAAATGACTTGCTACCAGAGGGGGGTTTATCTAGCTTCTGATTTTGGGGTGAACCAAATAAGTTTTGTAAGGATGAAGGCATTGATATTGGTTGGCTTGGCTTAGGAGGAACTGGTCCGTCAGCACAATCAGCTGACTCAACCGAATTTACCGAAAACAAATTCGCTAGAGGTGGATTGCTATGTTTTTTAACCTTACGAGCATCGACTAAGCTTGTACCAGGAGACTTATTAAGTCCTTCGTAGAAATCTAAACCAAGGTTCTTTCTCTCCCTATCAGGTGTGTTAAGAGCACTAGTTCCCATGTCGGAAGAACCAGACCTACTGTCCAGCAAGATCAACGGTTCGCTCTCATCTGACCTCCAAGTTGGTCGCGAATATTTTGGCGGATCAGAGAGACTCCTGGTTGAAACGAAAACGCTGTTACCGTGTTCAGATTCATCGTCGCCATCATACAAATCCCGACTTTCAGTCAAGAACGTCACCCTCTTTGAATCCCGTCCACTTCCGTCTGCTTCTTGAGCTCTACGAAACTCCTGGTCAAGCGACGCGCTCGAGGCGTTCGCCATTAAGGTATCACTGTTAGATCTCTTTAACTTCATCCCCGGAAGAATCGTGGTGCTTCCGGTGAGCCCACGACGGGTCAGATCCTCTATGCGAGAAGCGGCTGCCGGATAGAGGGGAGCTGTTCGATGGGCCTGAGCAAAGTTTTCACAGTGCTCCTCTTTACGAAAGCTCGGTTTTCTCAGGATAGACTTTCGTTTATGTGGCACCTTGACGGGATGAGAGGGCATGGGACTTCGTCCCTCGTCCTCATCAATATCACTAAGCTCCATTTTCCTGCCCTCCTGTCCTTTTGTTGTCACTGTAAAGCGGCCGACTGTAATTGTTCTATCTGTGAGGAGCGATTGACACGTCCAGTCTTCCAGCTAATCGAAAAGGAGAAAGATTAGAATATTAAGGGCGAGCGAAACGCAAGCTATATAAAATCTTAACGGTGACCAATTTACATCACCAACTCCATTTGATAAAACCAAATTATTCTATAATAATACCCGTTTAACCTCTATATCCCTTGAATAAAAAGACAAACAAATTAAAAACAAATAAAACACAAAACAAAGCAGGAGATTTGTATTCTTTGGCTCAACCCTTAATTCCTAATTGTGAGACAAACCCAAGATCTCTGAAGGATAGCACGATTTCTAGTGTCCTCACGAACATGTAATACCAAAACCGAAGTAATCCCAAAAGCCAATCGGAAAAAAAAGGAAAAGATCACATGAAAAAAACCATGAGAACTCGAACTAAAATAAGTAAACTAAGTGAAACACGACTGACGATTACGTTACGTAATTGGTTTTGCGTCTGATTGGTTGAGAGGGTGGTTGAAGTTTTTTAAACCAATCATGGAGTAAAGTAAAGGCAAAACAACGCACAACTTTATTTATTTCGACAATCACATAAGAATTGCTCTATGAATACCTCAAACAGCGGGGAACGCCCCCCAAAAAAACCGGAACTG